ATCGCCAAGTTTAGATTTCCAATTGGAAGACTTTCAACACGTCGGAGAGAAAAGAGAACGCGTTGACTGTCCACCGTTTGTTAGTGGTCGTCTTTCATCGTTCGGAATATTCATCGTCTAAAGAAACTTAAATATTTTCGTCATTTGCAACAGAGTTCTCCGAGCTTGTGTTTCAATATGTCCCTGTGTGCGCGCGACGTACGCGAGACAATCGGCTCCATTAGTCTTTGTCAAGGCCCGTCTGAAACTGTAACATTTACGCCGCTTTTAGCAGCTGATGCGATGATCGTAAACCCTGTCGTTCTCGTGATCGTCAGTTTAGACATTCACTGTACCTGCGTACTGCACGGCACAGCTGGAAATTCGAAAGATGACTTCACATCGCGCGTGTATCTACGACGTGTTTGTGCACCTGCGTGCAACTAAGCCGCGAACGCGAGTGGACGATTTCGACGTGCAACACTGCTTATGTAACAGTTTTCGAACGTTTACCGTATATAAGAATTTTTACGTGCACATTGTGCGCGCTCTAGAAACCGCTTTGAAACTTGAACTTCTTCGAAATGCCTTCTCGGATTCATTTGAGACTAAAGTTTTGAAAGCAATCTAAAAATTTATTAGGACAGAAATCGTGAGATGTTCAATAATAATATGAAGATGATCGCGACTGTTTAAATCGGTAAAATCAATAAAATCTTGTTACAATACTGATGAAATTTTGAAACGTTTCATATGACGCAAGTACACGTGATTGTATGTGCCCATTAAGTTTCTATACAAGTTGAGCAACATAATCGTGTTGCTCATTACAAGTATTTTATATGATATAATATATTCACAAATACGATTATATACATACTTGTACATTGAATTTTCGAATTGTCTTCAAATTCTACTGAGATAGTTGATGAGTTTCTTAGTTAATGAGATTTCAAGACGTTCTACATAATAAGGTCACAAAGAGTTATATATTTGGTAGAAATACGTAAATATATACGAACAGAGAAAGGCACGGGGAGTAAGATCGCGGAATGGAGTCCCTAATTAAAGAGGAACTGCGAATCCGCTGCGTATCTCGTCGCGTTTAATTATGTCTTTCATTTCGTCTGAAATCGTTGAAACGTTGGTCCTTTGTACGATGTATATTCTTACATGTCGGACATAATTAAAATCTGTTGAAGATAAACACGTAGAAATCCCTAACGTCCTCGAGCTGCAGACTGCAGACTGCAGAGGTATTAACTCGATAATCCTATCCTAGGTCCCGATCGAGCACAATATGTATTTACTTGAATGGGAATTAAGCTACGAATTATTAATTCCACGAATTCTGCTTGTTTGCGCGTGTAATTTCCAACAATTGGACTTTGTTAAAGGATTCCCGAAGCGTGAAAAAGATACGGAGGAATCTATTGTCGATTCGATCTCATTTTAAAGAAGTCCTTTCGTTTGTCGAAATGAAAACGCGACGCGGAGCATGAAAATTCGAAGCATTAAATGTAATAGACTATGAATTTTGGTGAATTTATGAAAAATACAAAAGTGCAAAAATACGTGATAACAAGAAAAATGTGAAACAACAAACGTGTTAGTTACGACGTTAGATAGTCAGGAAAGTTTTCTTCTTTTTACGAGAATAAAAAACGCAGCAAGTGGTATATAAAAAAAAAGTATAATTTTGTTTATCAAAAACAAGCACTTCTCACCAACTATTTTGAGAGACGATGAGAAGACGACGATGTTTTTCTGCGGGTAAAATTTTCTAACATCAAGCACGTAATTATAATAAAATGTCAAAAGTATACTTGTCGCAGCATTTGCTGACCAAACGTAATTTCCACTTCATTGCTCGTATTCGCAAAATCGCGAATTTGCACAAGAATCCGCGGTCCAATAAAAAAAAAGTGCTAAGAAAAGAACAACGAGGAAGAAAGATAAAAGAAAGAAAATATCACGAGCGAGCAAGAGAAAACGACCGGCAAATGAAAATAAATTCGCATTTAAAAAACCCCTAAATCATATTTTTATCTTACAACCCTTCGTCGTAACTGAAACTCTCTACCAAACAACACTATTTTTCCGCGCTGTATAAAGGGTGCTGTTTAATCGTCAATCACCATGATCCGTTCCACTGACGACAAAAAAAAAAATAAAGTTGCACGAGATTGTTCAGCTCGTTCACTGGGAAACGATGCCGATATGTTTCGAAACAAATGGTAATATGACTAGAGAGACTAGATCCGTGAATGTGAAAATAAGCTGCTTGAGGAAAGAAGTAATTTAGAAAATATTGTTTCGTGAAATTACGTAGTTAACAAACACGTTGGAAAGAATATTCGAGCTCCAAATGAAATTACTGTGATTGTTACAATTACGAAGGCTACGAATTGAGTCGAATTACGCTTGACGCTGTGACGAGAAAGTAAAATCCTCGGTTTTTTACTTTCGTGAAGAAACGAAACAGACGAGGAATTAAATGGTAATTGGAAGAGTGTGAAATTATAAAGAGAGCCTCCTCGATGAACAGCGAGTCATTGATTTTGCCTCCAAGAACAAGGAAGCATCTCGAGAGTTGAAATCTCGGAAGGCTTTGCGGGAAGATGAAAGTGTTTCAGGGGAGAGCGTAAAATTAAAAATAGTATGTATATACCCCGTCGTTACCCGGAGAGTGATTATACGTGACGTCAGACAAAGCTCATCACCCAATGGACTGTGCCATATGAAGCAGTCATGCATTACGCTCGTGTAATCATCGAAATCTTGTTTACTTCCCTATAATTTTGTTAATCGCACACCTCCTCCCCCTCTTTCTCCCACGAGGTGCAGCTTGAAACGTCTAGCGAAAATATTTCAACGTTTTATCGCGACAAATATTGCGCGTGTATGTGTATTGTATCTATGTGTCATAATATTGTAATTTCATTAGCACTGGACGACGATTTTATTGAGAAAATTTGAAACCAATCGGAAAATTACTTATTGCGAATTGATATAGAGGGTGTTTCTGCAATCGTGGTACAATCTTAATTTCTCTTAAATTTACTGTTTGATTTTGAGAAGAGCAAGTTCGTGAAAGAAAGATATTAATTTTAAAGGACTCTTCCTTTTTCATTATGACGAAATTATAAAATGAACGATAATTGAAAGAATGCAATCTATGTCAAATTAATTAGTGAAATTTATGTTCCCAATAATTACGAAAATGTAGAAACAGGTGTAAGTTTTTCTGATAATTTAATTGAAATTGTCTTTTGCTCGTGTACGCGTTTCGAATATATTTTTCACCTGAAGCGTTTCATTGTTATTTATTAACACCCATTATAGTTCCATAAGTATTTCATCTCACAACGCAATAACATTAATTTGTAAATAAATTATACGTGTATGAATTTATCTTGTTGGAATAACTTTTCCATCGTTATTATTAAAGGCACTGGTATTTACATCAACACCCGATGAATTTAATTTGTAAATAAATAACATTTAGTAAGCAAAGTTCAATTTATTTTGTTGGAATAACATCGTCATTATTGAAAGTCACGCTCGTTATGACTGTCAATGTCCAATAAATTTATATTTTAATTCACAAACAGAAAAGAACGTACATTTCTAAATGAATTAATTTCGACTTTATTATAATTATTGTTGAAGGCTACACTCTTTGTGTCAATATCCGATTAAAGACAATAAATATTTTTAATTTTAATGACCAGACAATACTACGAAATGGTAAAAAATAAATCTTTTGTATTGTGTTCGACATCGCCCGTTATTGAATGTTCCAAAAATTCTTGAATACAGAAAAATGCTTTAAAATCTATTTTGAATGTTTTTAAACTCTCCAGCCACGGGCGATTTTCATATTTTTCTGTACAAAATCACGGGCGAAATTCATATCACATGAATGTTTATCGCGAGCAAACTTTCAATGCAACGCAAAAAAGAGAAAATCAAAATAAATGAAGAAACGGGACATGTTTATATTTATTCACTAAGTGCTGGTAATTATTAATGGATTATTAACTACCATATTTATTATTTATTAGTTAGTTACTAATAACAATTAACAGCTACTGAATTATTCGCTACATTATTTATTTATTGACTGTAACTCTTTTATCTCTTATTATTTCATTTGCTAGTTCTCATTCAACGTTTCCTTCTGTTCAGATATTCTAAAAATTCAATGCAACGCGACGACGATAATATTCATGGAAAGTCCATCGAAATAAGTAGAACGCGAGTTCGACATCGTTGGAGAGTTAATAAATAGTATATCTACACTTTATCGGATTGCTCGGAAAGTTCGAAACATATTTGACAGTCTGTGTCATTGTTTGCATCTCGTTTTCGATTGAGAAAGGAAAAAGATACAATCAAACGAAATATTAAGTTGTGCTCTTACAATTAGTTTCACACTGAAAGAACTCAATGAGAGAGAGACACTCGGAATTCGTTAGCGACAAAGGTTTCGCTTCTCCATAAATTGGAATTCATGCATGAATGAACAACAAGCAAAAAAAAAAAAAAAAAAAATATTGAAGAGTTGAATGTTCAACTTCATCCAGCGCGCGTAATATATAGACGCGTAATCATTTATTCTGACTTTTTCTCTTCACTGGCGATTTTTTTCAATTATCAGAAATTGGTTACTCCGTAGCAAAATTCCTCCAATTTGCTTTTAAATTTCTTTCCATTACAATTGGCATTGACACACGCGCTTTTACCAAAAGCGACTCCCGTTTTTCCATCATTATGGGTTCCAGATATTTGTAATAAAAGAAGCATTTCACGTCGTTTAATGCTTCTGCTTTAATTATTCTAAAATATTTACGGAGATAGATTAAGCATGAATATCTGATGTGTGGACAAATGCTTTCTAGCAGAAACAGTTGAACAAAAATATTAAACGAAATGACAACATTTCACTGGTTACTGTGTGTATGTGTATGTGTGTGTGTGCGCGCGCCATTTAACGGAACGTTGATTTTCATTTGCAGACAGCAACTTTGTGCTGGGAAATGCGCAGGTTCCGTCGCTCTACCCGATTGTTTATTGCTCTGACGGGTTCTGCGAGCTGACAGGATTCGCGCGAGCGCAGATCATGCAAAAGGGTTGCGCTTGCAAGTTCCTCTATGGTCCGGAAACGAAAGAAGAGGAAAGGGCGATGATCGAGAAGAGCCTCGAGAGCAAAACAGAGCTGAAGACGGAAGTGGTCCTTTACAAAAAGAACGGTGAGCTTTATCCTGCGCTCAATCACAGAAATAATCGATCGACCAAAAACAAGTGATTTTACTAATTTCTAGTATTTACCAACCTAACGTTTGATCACATAATGCAGATAATTCCCCTAATTATTCCTAGTTTAATTTAATCTCTTAATAGCTAAATTATGGAATATATGTCCCTGGCAACGTTTCATGAAATGTAACATATTGTACACCGATCGATTTAAACGCTTTTATCAAAATTACCAAAATATTAGACGTATTCTACGAGCTACCATTGCTAAAATATTCGACATATCTATTCTTGTGCAGTAATGGGATTTTTATTCTGATTATTCATGTTGACTTTACTGCGTTGAATGATTCGTGATATTTGAATCTGTTTCTTTCACGTTAATGATAGATATAAATATACCACTGTTTTTTGGAACCTCGAATATCTACTTCATAATTTAGTAGAGAAAAAAATATAAATTAACCGGTGTAGATAAATTCTGATTGGTCAGCCACCAGGTGGTCGACAATGCTTGCGCAAAATTAATTATTAACGTCAATTATTTGATCTAATAATAACGTGCCGTTTCTTTCGTGACGCGCAATTATTCACACAATCAGATACAGGTTATTAATTAACAATTAATTTTACAATTATTTCATTAATTTCCCGTAGAATGATCCGTGCATTTTCGCATTTCATACGTCAAAATGAATTGATTAATGTAAAAATTGTATTTTGTGGAATGTGACATCGTGGAAAACATGTTCAAATTATAATTTTAGATACCGGTATGTTTATCGTGTTACATTTCAAATTTACATGTTCTTGCTCGTTATGCACAGTGGCCAAATGAAACGATCATCTACGTGAACAAATTTGTCACGCGACATTTTCATGGATTTTGTCAAGATCGACATTTTCATAACAAGACAAAACTGTTTCAATATAAACTGTTGCCGGTTAATAGTAATCATAATATCGCTGCGCGTAAATTCGTATCTTTGTGAAAATAATTTAAAACTAGAATCCAGGCAGAGAATCGCTATACTTGTTAAATATTTTAACAATTTTATTTCGTATTTTGGTTATTTTAGATACTGCATTATGCGTGTCCCATGCATTTTTGTTCCTCTAAATTTATCCACAAACATATAAAAATCCGCAGCATGACAATAACTTTTATATCTTTTTCTCTGTCCGATCCAATTTGAGTGTAACATTTTAAATTAATGAGAATTCCGATCTGCAATATCACTCTGACGGAATATCTTTCATCGGTGCTTTCACATTTTGTTCATGTAGTTGATTCGTAACGATGAAAATCGCCGTTTAACGTTATTAATCGCGGCGAATACGGCGTATTAAACGCGGGCGCAAGGAAAGCACAGGTGCAACGGGATACGTTTAATCGGGATAATCGATTCGATCGAATCGGCTACTATCATATTTGTACAACACCAACTGGTCATGTTTTCCACCATGCCCTGGTACACCTCCGTTTTTCTGCGTTCGAGAGCAGTCGGTTTGAAATTGAAAAACAGTGGAGATTCATAGCCGAGATTCAGAAAAAAAATAAATAAATAAATAAATAAAAAAATAAAAATAAAACGAGAAAGAAAGAGAGAAACGAGAGATAAGCGAAAAAACACTTCATGAATTTCAAATCGCAGAGCGGGTACTATCAAGTTGATACTGAACGTGTGAGTTTAATTGCAGGAAGTTCGTTCAACTGTTTGCTCGATATCGTGCCGATCAAAAACGAAAAGAGCGACGTCGTACTCTTCCTGGCATCGCACAAGGATATCACCCACACGAAGAACCTTCAGCTGTGTGAGTTGCTCGATAGTGGTGAGTTCTAGCCAAGCTTCGCTGCTGAACTCAGTCTGACGAAACGATTTTCTCTGGAATGCATTTCGATCGACGTGACTGATGAATTGCATTCCAAAGTATCCGAGCACGGGACCATACATCGGGTATGGATTAAACGTTCCCAATGTACATAACCTTGTTTCTTTTCTTTGTTTTTTTTTTCTTTTTTTTTTCCTTCTCTCTCTCAACGTGTCTAACCGTTTCGTGCTTTCAACACCGCGATCACGCTACTACACGCTGCTGCACGATAACAGAAACAACCCTAACGCAACTCGCAGCCGTTGTTACAAACAAGCAAAGAGCAACGCAAAAGAGAAGCATTAAAAAAAAAAAAAAAAAAGAGACACCAAAAAGCACAAAGCGAAAAAGCCAGCTTCAGATAGTTTTGCTTATCTCGTAGAATTTACGCGTAATCGCATTGCACGTGTTAGTTACAAAACTGACCTAGTAAAGCTACGTATACGTAACATGTAGATACCTCGCTCGAATCGGAGGTTATTTTTACGATGTATGCTATTTTTTCCGGCAAAAGAAAAGAAAAAAAAAAAAAAAAGAAGAAGGATAAACGTCGAGGATAAAAGAAGGGAAAAAAGGAGATGTCCGATACGACGTTGTTGCTTACGTGTAAATCATTGAATATTAATATACGTGTTGTTTCCCTGAACACCCTAATTGCATACGACGCCGTACAGTTTGAACGCTGTACGAAGGGAGAGGTGTAATGTACGGCGATGGTACAATTATTATTTCAGATGCAAACGGCAGTCTCGATCCGGAGGCGCCGCCAGCTAATTATGGCAGAAGAAGAAGCCGCGCCGTCCTTTATCAATTGTCAGGCCATTACAAACAGGACAATAAGCACAAAATTAAATTGAACAACGTAAGTGGTTCGTTCTTCGGTTTCGAAACCGCTTTCAAAAGCAGCCCGAACTCAGTTTCATTCATCCCGATAGGAATAATTTATATATTGTATTCGTGACTCGCGAAAATGTCTCGAAAAATTTTATAAATTGAGAAAAGTTTTACCGAAACCGTGGACTGTCCGCTCGATTTTAAATATTTTCGTGAGCAATCACGTCTCGTCTCAATAATGATACAAAGATCTGTTCAGCGATGTACGACGTGTACCATTGTTGTAGAACCTTCTGCACTCAACAGCGGCACCATTGCCGGAATACAAGACGACCGGGATCAAAAAATCACAGTTTATCTTAAGCCACTACGGCGGCTTCAAGTCTTGCTGGGACTGGCTGATACTACTCGCGACGTTCTATGTGGCGATCGTCGTCCCTTTCAACGCGAGTTTCATCAACATCGACAGGCCTACGATGGTCAGCGACGTTGTCGTCGAAGCGCTCTTTATAACCGGTGAGTACCGTTTCTTCAATTAAAATACTTATCTCCAGTAATGGACACTTTGAATATCATTCAGCTCCGAAACGATCCGACATTTTTCAACTGCATCGCGCGTTGACGTAAACTTGAAGATTTGCAACGCAGCAGAGGAAAGTTTACTTCTGTTGTTTCTATACGTATCCCCAATTCGATGCAAATTGAACATAAACTCCAGTTATTAAATTACAAAATTGAAAATCCACTCGAGGAATACGATATCTCGATCAACTCTGATGATATTTAAACATAATACCATTGAGTCGACGCGTTCCAAGTCTTCCGAGACATCAAAAATCTATGATTTCCAAGAGCGTCAAGACTTTCGAGAGTTTCGAATGTTGTCGAGTATTCGAATTCCCAGCCGTCCGATGTACTTGTCATTTATCTCGTTAGCGATCGATCGAAAGATCGGGAAGAGAAAGAAGAGACTGTAGCACGGTAACCAGCCTAAAATTACTAATCGGAAAATGGTCGATGTGTATCGATTGGACGGTGCTTTTAAAGTAATTCAGCCGAAAAGAAACCAGGGTCGGTACTCCTTTTATCCAATTGGTGATTCGAAGAGATCGTCAAGTCCTCGAAAGCAACGACGATTCCGTGCTTCTCTGTTTCCAATCTACTTATACCTCTATCGGGGTATCAGTCGTCGTTGATTTCAACTACTGAACGCCTCGTTCGTGACATGATTTCCTTCGCGCATATCCAACACGGAAAAATTTCATTTAATTTCGATGCTTTCGCAAATTTGTCATTACACAGACAGAACGAGGGAAGATTCTGTCGCGTGGCTACGAACGAAGCTTTTCATCTTGATTCTCATCACAGAAATCCTACTATCCTCGAGAGTCAATGTTCCCAAGTAATGTAACATTCGCTCTACAAACACTGAATTGATTTATACCCGAAGTGAATATCGAGCAACCATGTTCCAAGCGAGAGCTCTCCGCGGGTGTTCGAGACCGAGGTCGAGTCTCTTTGAAAATAGAAATCATAATTCCATTTGTTTGTACAATGTAGAGTGTTTCTTTTCTCAGAATGTTCTCTCCATCGAAAATTTAGAGAATTTAGAGAATTTAGAATATTTTTATTATTTTTTTCATATTAGTAAAATTTTTGTTAATTATCATTTCATAATCAAAGTTGTCATTGTAACATTTTCGTTTCTTAGAAAAATGTGCAAAGAAGTTCGTCTCGTCCAAACATTTTCAATTATTGACGCTATTATAATTATTGTAATTTATATTTGTATTTTCGTTAATTTTTGATCGATCTTTCAGCGGCATCCGTTTCTTGCACTCGTAGAATATACTGGCAAATACGAGAATCGAATTGATACAGGAGAAGTTGGATTGATTTACCGAAGTGAAATAAAATCAAACTTCACGGAATAACAAATTCAATTTTTCATCACTGTCAATATTCTACCGGCAGCGGATAGTGATGAAAATTTCAAAGCAGGAAATTGTAGAACAATTTTATTACATTGAGCGGATTTCTAAGTTTCTAACTGAAAATTTTACGACCACAATTTAAAAAATTGGTTTCACTGTTCAAACGAAAATTATACATTTTTTATACATCATTTAAATTTTTCATAAATCCATAAACTTCTACTTCTATTGATATCTGATATCTCGTATTTTTGATTACGACTGTTTAATAATCTTTTTTATTATCCTATTAAATATCCTTTTTATTAACATAAATTTTTCATGCAAAATCAATATTTTATTCGAAACATTTTCAAATTAGTATTCTTTCATTTGCAACATCAAAATGTTTTAAAAATTAACATTTTTCTATCACGCAAATTTATGAAGATATATTTCTAAATTACATTCTAATTTACACTTGCGAAAATATACTAAATATATTAAAAGACTCTGGATGGAGGAAACTCGGAACATTCTGTGTTCGAAAAACGATGTTTTATCATTCTATTTTTGTGCTGTTTCTCCGATTAAATTTCTCTCTACTCGAAAACCTGATATTCGTAATCGTAATTCGATATGAAACTACTTCATCTCGCTTGCCTAATTTGTAAATGAGCCGAATGAGCGAATGTTGAGACAGAAATTCAGTTTGTTAACGAGATTAGGAGCATGAAGTTCCTTAACACGATGCGTTTTCGTGTTGGAAAACTTAATGGGGGAAAAGGGAAAGGACAATCGATCGCAAGGGTAGTTCGTCTCTTTGATCAAAACACGATCTGTGAACTTCCTGATCCGAAATATCTGCTTGCCCAGATTCCTACTCTGTAACATGTTCGAACACTATAGGATTACAATCGGAATTAATCGCAAGAGCATAGGAGAGAAATAATATGTCACATTTCAAATAATTTCACGTTAATTAAAATTAAAAAATTTCAGTTAATTCTGCTTCACTTAAATTCTCGTTTCGTTTAAAGGGCAACCACATCCTCGTAATTTTAAAAATAATATTAAAACACTGGTTTTCAATAATTTAACGAAACTTCGTCGATTTGTCAGCTGTTTTTAAAAAATTTACATCTTTGAGCTTGATAAATTCTTGCCACTGTTGGTTTCGGAGATTCGAAAGAGTTTCTTTTTACTTCTTTTTTATGTTACAAGCATATAGAACATTGTATTATTAGAATTTTTTATAATTTGAATAATTAACAATGTTAGAGCACTGGAGATGCTCGTTTTTATTGAAGATGAGATTCTTTTCTTCTGTGATCTTCAATGCATGTTGTGTCAGAAATGAAACGAAATAATAAAATCACGCGTGTGTGTCTTTTTCGCAGATATCATTCTAAACTTTCGAACGACGTACGTAAGCAGAAAAGGGGAAGTGGTTAGCAATAGCAAGAGCATAGCCGTGAACTATCTAAAAGGCTGGTTTTTCGTCGATCTCGTCGCTGCTTTGCCCTTTGATTTTCTTTATGCTTCTGACGTTTACAGCGGTGAGGTGAGTGATCAAACTAAATATATACATAGACAGCTAAATTTTCGAATTTTCATACTACAATAACCCACGAGAATATAAATATAATATAGAAGAAGAACGAAATTTTACGTATACACAAAATATGTTACATAATTTTTTGTATACACAACGTGCGTTACATAAAACATTTTCAAATTCTATCAACACTGCAACGAGAGAGATTTATTGCAAATATACATTGCTGTACAGAAACTTGGAGCACCCTTCGTTCTTTAGATGAAATAAATTTTTTCATACACTTCAAGAACTTGTACACACCGAGAATATTGCATTTCCAAATATAATCTAAATATAATAGACGATTTTTTTCCATATTATTTGAAGCACTATAACACTAGAACTACCGAGCTGGTCAAAGTGATCAATTCATAATTTTTGCTGGATACGTCATAGATGTACAACGGTACACTGTTGGAGATTTAAATGTTCTTTGTACAATAAATAGAATAAAAGCTCGTGTATTCTATTCTATTGTATCTTACAGCTTTTCTATTTTTTTCACTTTAATATCTCTGATAAAAATTCTATGTTTTAGTTGTTGATAGTTCTAGTGTTAAATATTTTGTATATATTTCTTCGTATTAGGTGCATTCTGTGCTTCAAAATTTTCTGTAAATTGCGTATAAATCCATTCTAACAATAATAAATATTAAAAGTAGTCCCACTGAATGTCGAGACCTACTGATATAATAAATTACGTCTGTTTAATACTCAAATGTATCAAATATTTTATAACTTTTGTATACATTTTGTGATCAATGTGACAAGACATGACAGTCATCTCTTATCGCACTGTTTACGAAACTTCGAAAGTTTTACATATTCGTGACAAAATTTCCATACACGTTCGTGAGCAATTTGTAAGTTAATTTCAAATCACCGGTATGAAACTCTTAACACGACTGCGAATAGCGAGTTTCTTTTCTAAATCAAAACCTGGCTCGGGTGTCCTGCCGAGAAATGTAAGGAAGAGATACGTGCACAAGATACTATTTGTACAATATATATAAAGCGAGTTGTGAATGAAGTTCATTTAGGAAAAGGTTCGTGTATTATTAAATTGAACGATGTACACCGATTCCTCCGCGTCGCGTCGTCCGTGTTCGCTCTCTCCGGAACATGGTCACATATCGAACGACGTATCTCGACATGAATCTACAAAATGGTACACTCTAGTCTAACCCGTGGTTATAGCGTGCGAGAATACGTAATTACATTGATTAACGCACTTTCAAATATTTAACATCTCGTCATCATGACGAGCACGAAGGGTACTTCAAATAAATAAGTACTGAATCTTTCATCTATCACACTTAAAAGAAGTTAGAATTGTCATGTTCTTATTTCATAGAACGATATAGACCGAAGTTTATTTCGTCCACAAAGCAAAGTTAACTATTATAAACGTAAAGATACAAAGATCTTTAGAAGATGTACAAAAATATTTCATATGTGGAGATTTAACAAATCGCGATGTGCTTCGACTAACATTTATTAATAACTATAATCTATTCTATCATAGGAATCGGGACATGGTAACATTCATTTAGTAAAATTAACGAGATTGCTAAGGCTCGCGCGATTACTTCAAAAGATGGATAGATATTCGCAGTACAGCGCGGTAATTTTGACGATGTTGATGCTGTTTTTCATCCTGGTGGCACACTGGCTGGCTTGCATTTGGTTCGTTATCGCGGAAAAAGAACGATTGAGAAACGATAATGATTGGGACCTCGGTAAGTTCGATTTTTCTTAATAAACTTCCATTTATAGAAAAACTGCTGTCGAAGCTTAGGGAGAGAACTTTTGAATGTTTACGAGTCGATAGACAATTCATTCTATTATTAATAATCCTCACTGATCAATATTTCTGTTGAAAATAACAATTTATGCGCAACATAGCTATTAATCCTCAAATAGTATTATTAAGTTACAGATAACAACAGTAATATCGCTCAAATTAATTATAACTATATCATAAATTATGTCGCTGAAATTTAGAATACCTGTTTGAGTTTGTTTCGTTTGTTGCATTGTACAAATTAAACGAAGTAAAATGAAATTAAGAACTCGACTAATTAAGTAATTTAACTCTGCTTCAATTCATGCTCGATAATCGCGACAATCGTATGGACTGAGGCATTTCAATTTCTCCTTGTAGGTATGTATTTTAGTAAATCATATACGTTTATATAAATAAGGTTCCGTTTCTCGAATCGTTGCACCAGAAATGTGCGATTGACACGGACGATTGACTCCAGCATGAAATTCTATTCTATTCAATCGTAGAGGAAGACGGTATCCCCGGTTGGAAAATCAATTCCTGGCAAATGGGCATAACCTTTTGCAGCACTTAACATTCCGAACAATAATACTTTGCAGTGCGTTCATTGTTTTCCCTATATACGTTTATACGTTCCATCTACATGGGTGTATTATTGATCCCTTTTAACAAAATATTATACTTTATTCTAACTTTGCAAAATCATTTTATTTTTTTTTTTTTTCTTTTTTGTTAATTCCTTCAGTATAGTTTCAATTTTTTCGTTCAAATCGTCTAAAGGACTCGATGACATATGAAAGAAAATTTCAAAATTTTGGAAATATGTAGACTTATATGTCTGACATACTGAAATACGATTTATGCGCGTGATAGGTCGTTTTTCATTTTAATATTTTACTTCGTTATTTTATAGTAACATTATATATAATGTATTCTATTTGAGTAACATTATAGTAAGTTAATTTTATAGTAACATTATATATAATGTATTCTATTAATGTATTATATATAATGTATTCTATTTGAGGATTAATGCAAATTGTAATATAAATACATCCGTGTTTAGTACTTAGATATACTGCAAACTGATCCCTCATGGACTAAAATTTGTTTTCGGAGAGCGTTACATTATAAATGGAATCGATGCTTGGGGAAAATTCAACTTATATTAGTATTAGTCTGCAAACTTTCGTCTTAAGGAGAAGTGTATTGTATAACTTGGCTGCAGACGTTTCCCTCCTAGGCATACTCTCGTAATACTATTGCCGCTTAGTCTGTGCTCGCGTAAATGAATATCTGATTAAAAAGCCCAGAGAAACTTGGATTCCGTCTAGACACAATTATATCAACGCGACAATCGCGAATGTTTTAACGAATAAGTAGTTCTCTGTGATAGAACTATATTCAATCTGTTATTCTAAACATACACATCCTCTTAAAAACTTTACTTCGGCGAATTAAGTCATTCCATTCGTGTTCGATTCCTAGACAAAAGAAAGTTTAAGATTTGTCGTTAATATGATAAAGGATATAATGTGTATTCAGCATATTAAACTTTAAAACGTATAAATCCCTCTCCATTTGTTAATGAATAATATAGCACGACTCTTCCTTTTTTCAAAGCTACGTTTCATTTTAATAACATCTGAATTCCTTTCTTGAAAAATCACTAGAACTTTGATATTTAGTATATTATATTTAATTTTGAAACGTAAAATTTTGCGATACATTTATCGAATGACATATTAGCTGTTATTTCCTTCTTTGAAAAATTGTTACAATTCTAAAGCATGATATTCGATTGTTTTCCGATAGATTTAATTTCTTATCTTCTACAGCAGTATTTAGCTTGGTATATATTTATCTGTGTTAAAGCGTAGAGAAGAGAATGGGCAAGGTAATAACATTTAATTACACTCTTTCCTTTTGTTTAATATCGCCGACAGTATATGATAGTCCATTCATACAAATGAATAAAATTAATTTCTCTTCGATTCATTAGTATTGATCATTTCCACAGCAACGTTTTATAACGTCTTATACGTAATTATATGTTCCGATAGTTAACATTTAACGTTGTTTTAAAATGTAAAGAAAAGATTAGATGCTCGAGAAATGACTCTTGATAATTAAAGAGACTCGCATATATTAAAAATTTTCTCAGTAAAGGCCTTAACATTTATATTACGAATAAGACTCTGTACCTTTTCACTGAAAAAAATCACTCTTTAACATTCTAATTTATTTGAATCAAACTAATTTTCACGATTTTATTATAATATTTCACATCTTTGAGACGAATCAGAATCGTTCGATTTGATTTTATTACTCATATATTTTCGAAGGGAATCGTCAAGTCTTACTTAATTAAAAAGACTCGCGCGCTTTATTATCAAACTGTGCTTTATCGTACTTCCGAACGACACTCATTGTGCGTAATATTCATATATTTTTTGAACTGCGTCCTAACTTTCGTTAACCCGATGGAGAAACGAGTGTCCAACACTCGACTCGAAACCTGATTAAGCGAATTTTACAGGCTGGATACACACGCTGGCAGAAAGGTTGAAAATTTCCGTGGAGAACGTAACGCACGCGGAAAGTTACATCACGGCGTTGTACTTTACTTGCAGTAGCTTAACATCAGTAGGATTTGGAAACGTGTCGGCCAACACATTCTCCGAGAAGTTCTTCTCCATTTGCACGATGCTTATTGGTGGTCAGTAGTCATCATCGAATCAATATGTCGTACATTATTCCGTAAGGATTATCAATTAATTGTTCGGTAATCAACTGTATCAGTTGCTGCGCACGTGCTTTGTTTAATCACTTTTAATCAAGGATTCGCATACACGTGAATTAGAGGCGAATGATGTTAATTAATACGGAATAAATTTGAATGGCAAAATTTACAATAGGGACTATTTCCACATTGTACATGTCGTGTATGCTACAGCTCTGATGCATGCCGTGGTGTTTGGTAACGTGACAGCGATTATTCAAAGAATTTACTCTAGAAGATCGCTATACCAAACAAAACTGCGGGATCTCAAGGATTTTTTCGTATTGCATCAGATCCCCGAAGAACTGAAACAGCGAATGCAAGACTATTTCCAAACTATGTGGTCGTTGAATCACGGTATCGACATATACGAGGTAAACTATGCAAACTGTGTGATCCAAGTGTTCGTAACGAAAACGACCCTTTTCCAGAAAACCAAACGAGCACGCTCTTGGCATACTTGATACCTGTTCGATATATCTCAACGTTTTCAGATAGAACGTTCGTCGTATTACGCAACTGCTTCAATCAATAATGACAGATTATAAGAAATGGCTGATGAGACTAAATTTGAAAGCACAGAATATGACGTTTCCTTGAAGTTCCATCTATTTATTATGTTACGACTTATTTGTCAAAATGGAAATAGCTGTTTTTAATTTAAAAAAAGAAAGTTACATTTTTTTTCTATATTTTTACCCCGATTCTTCACCATCGTGAAAGAAAGTTCCACCGTATCTACCACGATACGTTATTGTTTGGAAAGGATCGTGAAAAAAAATTGGCAAGGATCGCCTTTGTTACGAGCACCTCCCTCGCTCCAAGGACCGTGGAAATTACCAAGCGTGTCGCAGTTTACCATTAATCGCGATAATACAAGATTTCGATACGTTTTAGACCCTGAAGCAATTTCCCGAGGAACTGCGGGGAGACGTTTCCATGCACTTGCATCGTGAAATACTAAATTTACCGATATTCGAAGCCGCTTCCCAGGGTTGTCTGAAACTGCTTTCTCTTCGCATTAAAAATAATTTCTGCGCCCCCGGCGAGTTTCTGATTCACAAAGGGGACGCGCTTTCCTACATATATTACTTATGCAACGGCTCGATGGAGGTTGTGCAGAACAACATGGTCGTCGCGATCTTAGGTACGACACTTACGTTAGCCGCAACGTATCGAACGTTTTCACGAAATTTGTCCAAAGTGTATGAGGGAGAGTGAAGTCGCAAACACGGCGTTTGATTTCGTTTAAAGGGAAAGGCGATCTGGTAGGCTGTGACATAAACGTTCACCTGCAACACGGGAGTAACGGGGGTGGAACAGGTGGCGGTGGGGCCAGCGACGTCGTAGTGAAATCCAGTTGCGACGTTAAAGCGTTGACTTACTGCGATTTAAAGTGCATAAATATGCATGGATTAGTCGAGGTGCTTCGGCTGTATCCCGAGTATCAACATGAATTTGCAAACGATATACAGCACGATCTCACTTACAATTTACGAGAGGGATACGAGGCTGAGGTGATTACCAACAGTGCCGATAATTGACGAGCTCTCTGGAGAATGGATCGATAAGCCTTTAATAAATATACTGCCGCACTCGTGGAATTTTTACAACAGGGTATACGAATTTTATCCAAATGTGCAAATGGCCAATTAATGGCTGGAATTTTGTGGATTTATATAAATTTTAAAACCTTGGAGCACTGGTATATATAAATTTTCCTTTTTATAATTAAATATGGAGTCATATTGATTTTAATAAAAGGTTACTCAAACAATAAAATAGTTTCATGGGTTTTGACAATTGCAAATTTCATTGCTGTGTCTTAACACTGAGCAAGGCCTAATTGCAATTAAATCTTAAGCCATTGCCAATTAGAAGATCGAAAAATGGTATCTAAAGCTCAATTGATGATCAATTGAAAAATTAAAGCTCTCCACGTAGTTTGTTCAATTCGTCATTCCATCTTGTAGATCCATTTTCCAGTTTTAGTGAGAATAGAAGCAAAAAGAGAGTAACTGGTACAAATTTTTCTTCGTGATCCACCTTTAGCAAGAGTCGGACATGAACGGACCATCGTTAACATTACCATCCATCAGCGAGGACGACGAAAATGTGCCTGACGAAGGGGAGACATCGCCTCTATCACCACCAAACAAATCACCTTCACATATGTCGAGCCCCAGGCATGCTAAGTTTAGGTATGTTTGTCACACCAAACATATCTTTTTACTACCGAAGATAAATCCTCAAATATTCCACGTCGTATGCGACAGAGACGAATACAGAGAGGCTAGAAGACCGGGAAGAGGAGTTCTGGTGAGAGGAAGAACAGCTCAAGTAATCGCTCAAGAATCGATGGAGGAACATATCCGAGGATCAGTGGAGAAACTCGACACACAATTTTCTACGTTACATCAAGATGTTGCCACGCTGAGTTGTGAGGTAAATGTTATGGGAAATCTGTTCGTTTAACCCGTAACTGATAAGGTTCAGTATATATATTTGAAATTGTAAGAATTTTTACTTAATTTTAATTAACACGTGTCGTTCTACATTTAATAACCGATTCGTTCCGTCAATTCAAACTTTCGTTCTTTTCATCAAAAAAATTCTACGCAGTCTATGCAACTCTAGGAAGTTTATTCTTGTGGCAATTTAGAAAGTACAAACTATATTCAACCAATAATACATGTAATTAATTTGTTTTACTGTCCTTCGCGGATAAATCAAATAGCTTATTTATCCCATCAATTCAGAATGTTTTTATTGAAAAATTCCAATAACTGCATTTTAATATTCTCTAAATTATTTGGCAACTATCTCGTAAACTGATTTGTGAAATTCCATAATATTAAATATTTAATATTCCAATATTAATGATACAATAAATATTTCAATACTTTCGAATATATATATATCGCAAATCCGGCATCTGTGATGTATCATAAAAGGATTCTGTAATCTGATGTAGGTATTTAACAGCAAAGAATCATTTTACGTTTCCTCTGCGTTACAATTATCCAATGATTTCACGAACATGTGGGATCATTTAAAATTTAGTAACTAAAAGCGCTTTTGAATAATGTTTGCCAGACACTGATTTAAAGCTCGGAGAAAGCTTGTCAAACGCAACACGATCGATGATTTGTTAATTATTCAGTATCAAATGTATCAAAAAATAAATTAACTCGGAGTGCACTTGTAAAACTTAAAATATCGATCAACCATTAATTACATATAGGTTCCTAAAAACCTACATTGGTAAAACAGCCGAAATGTCTATTGCGTAATTGCGTCATTTGCGTAAAAAATTTGAATACAGAAAATAAAAAATTAAATCAAAAATTTATCAAACATTGATCGGCTAAAGATTTTGATTTCAATTATAAAAAATTTTTTTAATAAAAATTTAAACTTTATAACAATCAAAATATATATGATCTATCACAAAATTCTTTCTATTTCAGAAAAAAGCTATAAATCTCGAAATTTATATTCAGAATATAATATGCCCGCTTATAAGTAATATCTAGTTATTCATTAACTAACAAATAATATTTTCGTAATGTTTAGAATCGACAGGAGAAATATTTGCTTGATACATACAGACGAAATTCACAATATCAGTTACGGGGGGAAATGAATGAAATTATCAAAGTTTCTAACGTTCTCGATTATTTCGCTTAAAAACAGGTCAGGAATGCCATTCAAGCTCTTCAAATATTAGCGTGCTCGCCTCAAAGTAATCCAAATTTACCGACACCCGCGAATCGTGGCAGCGGCGTTTTGGCAAGAAGTTCGTCTCATCCGCCAGATGCTATATGCTGGGATCCGCCTAAAAGAATGTCAGATGCATCCACGCAAACCGACTGGCCTGTCGATCTCTTTGAATCTTGGATTCGAGCGAATCCTCAAAGAGTTCTCAGGATTCTTGAACTCGATACCGATACTCTTTTGAGGCAACCACCTTCTCCGACACCGTCTCCATCTTCTCCCCCGCCACCACCTTACGAGCCACTGTCACCTGTTGTTGGGACACCGCCGCAATCACCGTCTCTCGCCCAAGGTAAACACCTCATCTTTTATTTATTTATTTTTTTTTTTTCATTAAAAACTAACCCCGCGCAGAGCTTATTTCGACTGCGCAAATGTAGACACAATATACGAATTAACTTTTTAATCGGGGACGACGAGTTTATTGAAATTATTGAGATTATATATATTGAAAGATGGGAAATCTTCAAGTTCTACGACTAGTTAACTCATCTTACGCGCTACAGAAAGAAAGTAGTTCTAGTAACATCTGAATATCTCTTTTTTTTATTTATTTTACAAATTTTTTGAGAACGCGTAATATAGGTGGAAGTTATTTATTATTATTTCAGGAAACGATAATTTCGTTTTCGGCAATAATCATGGAGATGGACACATTCCTCGTTTGTATAAACCGACAAACTCTACATGGGATTCCGAGAATAAGTTATCGCACAGATTTAGTGCCGGCGACGCCGACAATGCATCTTTATATCAAGCATTTAGCACTATGCGCCGACTTCCTGAATCACGATCACTGAAATTCGATCCCTTTGGTAGCTGAACGTTTTTCAGAAACATATCAGGATTAGGAGCCTTAGAAGAAGACGAAGACAACCAGGAAGACGAAATGTTTGTACACGAGACGAAAGCAAAAGACAAAGTTTATGATTAAAAATAGAGCAACGAGAAGCAAGAACAACTCACTTTTTAAGTGTTCAGATACGTTTATTTCTTAATCATTTAATACTTCAACTTCTGTCAAACCTAGAATCAGTTTGTTCCTTTTTTTACGAATTGGGATACTTGAATTCAGTCGATATCGTTAGGAACAAACAGTCTTCACCTGAATAAATTACTAGTGGAACAATGATATACAAATTTTTTACAGCGCGAAACGTGCCCAAAGAAAGAAAAATGAGAAATTCTCAGTTGAAAATGAGCGTTGATAAATTACACAAATCAGTCGTAGAAGTCTATAGATATATTTATCAAATTTCGAATATTTGAAACAGAAAATACAAGGTTTTATGAATTTTAATTAATTTTCTAGTTGAAATTTAAAATATTGATAACATTTCTTATATGTATTTAATTACAATTGGATCAAAACTTTATCTTTTTTATTTTATAAGATAAAAATCTTATTTCAGAATTTGTATAATTCTATCAGAATCTTGTAACTTTAACTAATAAATAAATTGGAGTCTGGAAAATGTCGAAAATCTGTTTTTCTTTAACTACAGGGAACTTGACAAATATAGCTGAACTTTTGTGACTGACTCTATATATCCTTGCTCATTTGATACATTAACATTTGTTTAGAGACTCGACATAATATCGTCTAATCCGAATTTGTAGAATGGAACACGTGTACAATCATAAATTTTAATCTAAAGAGAATATAATATATCGTATGCGAAGTGAATTGTTCAGATACTTTTCATAATCTAAATCGTTTTAAATAACCAAATTGAGAAGGTATTTTGAAAAGGTATTTTTTAACTAATTCTCACATTATTATCGAGGAATGTTAAGAGAATTCAGATGACGATATAAATTTATATTGGAAATCTAAATATTTTCTTTTTATTTTTCTATTTGTTTTTTTTTTTCGTTAGGAAAATTTCGCTAATATCCATTCCATGCGCATATGTGTTGCTGTGATTGATTACATCTAGTTAGTAGTAACTATATACCGTTCATTTAAAGATGTTCTCTCGCGGATGTAACTTTGCTAAATAAATCAGCAAAATGTATTATTTAAGAGCATTCGTACTATTTTCAAATAATATATACATATGGAACAGAATGTTCAACGTTTAATATCGCAGTCTTTGCTTCAGATCGAAAGACTTTAAACTTATCGGAGGAAGAGAACAAAGTTTCAAACTTTAGCGTAGCAATAATATGCACAAGAAATTTCAATGTATCCGCTGACGTCCAGACTAGACAGTAGTAGCATTGTAAAGTAGCGTTTATTATCACAATAAACAAAACAATGTTGATTTTAAGATAGATAACACGAGTACATTAACAAAAGGTAATTCAAACGATTGATTTCAAATTAATGTATCATACGAAACTATTACACGGGGGATGTATATCGAATTGTAAGTATCTCTTGAAGAAATTCAATGTAAATAGTATATCGCTACCAAAAAAATATGTGATAAGGCACGGCTTTGGCCATGCACGACAATTGTATTCGTTCACCTTTCATCGTCATTTGTGAAATAATTAAAAAATGATTCGTCTGCTGATGATATCGGGCACATCTACGATTCAATATCTCTATAATTGTATTTCGATTAATGTATAACGAATATAAAAATTGGACCTACATACGTACATTCTCATTCCTTGAGCGCACAAACGACGGACATAATTCTAATGTTTTCTAAATAATTATTCGAATTTCGATGACGGTGTAAAGTACGATATTCGCATTCATTCTAATATCACGATTTCACAAATGTCAATGAAAGCGGCTGTTTTATAAATATTTCATATATTTTGTTATACTATTTCTATGCTCCTCACCTTATAATTCAAGCTGAACATATTGTAATATCTAACCTATTCTCACGTAATTCTACTATATATACTTTTTACACTCTTCGCGAAACTACGAATGAAACATTTGTCATCTTAACGTGTATGGAAAAATGTCAGTAAGCACAAAATATGGTTATACTCCTTAACGCACATCTAAGTGTGCTCCAAGTTGACGAATTTTAACGATAACGTTCAAAACTGTACAATTTATGATTCGATTTAACTATTAGATGGAAAATGAAGAACAAAAAAAAAAAGGAAAAAAGAAAAAAATCATTGTTCATGTTAGTTATGATAAAAGTATAAATTCATGCATCTATACATGTATACGTGCCTGTGTATACGTATACATACAGGCGTACGTACCTACCTTTCTCCCTGTGAATGAACTTATTACATATTAGCTAATAAGTTTATGCCAGAATACAAGAGAAAAAAAGATACCAAATTATTGAAGATCTAGCAAAATTTAATTAAATTTTTTATTGTACACTTTTTAACCAAACTAGTTAGAAAACATTAAATCAACGGCCTTAAAAAAAAAAAACTTATTTTTCTCACCATTCTTGCATACCGAAGATAGAGATGCGGTTTCTATATAGTGGAGAGGCCCGTGGTTTTCAGAGAACTCGGTATATCAAGTTACAAAACACCTTAAAGCTACGTTCCGAAAGATTCGTGAAGGAATATACACATATTCCAGGGGAACGAAATATTTTGCAAACATTTTTACATCTAATATAATTACCGAGTGGAATTCTCTAAGGACATTGAATATCGAATTATGTTACATCAATTGCAAATATAAATATTGTACAAATACAAAAAAGAGAGAGACATATACTTCTAAAGCGATAGAATATATTTATAATTATATGATCTTGAAAGTACCAATGTTAGCAAAATAGTTTTAAAAACATTTCTTTTAAACAACTTGGCAAAAACACGCCTATCGTACGCGTACGAACTCTTAATTATGTCACGAAAGGAAAACGCTATTAATTTAATGTGCATACTATTCTTTCCAGCAAAACTCAACAGCAAATATAATTAACAAATTTTTAAAAAAAGTCAACCTACTAAGATCTTTCAGGTGTTTGTAAATATTATCTGCTTACTGTACTGTGTGCATCATACAATTGGTATCCTTTGTTCACTCGTCTCATTATAAAAAAGAGAAGAAATAAAAATAATTGCAGAAACGCTTGGCTTAAATTTTCCTTTCATTTATGTCTGATCATATATTACGAACACTAATAATGTATTACTCCGAAATTTTATTCGATTTTTCTTACGTATCGCTTCAAAATACTCGATGAATCTACCTTAAATTTTGATATTTTTATATGAAAGGAACATATGTTTAAATATTACACAAATATATAATGGAATATTTTTTAAGATGGTCTCCATCTTTTTCGTGAAGACGAGTGTAACCATTTTCCGCCATATTTGCGTGTCATTACGAATTAACGGTCGAACGATCTAGATCATATACTTATTATTATCGGAATACATTTCGACATGAAAAACATATCGAAATCATTGAAACAATAAATCAAACATCAAAAAACATCAAATGACTACAATTAAAACACGATTCTTAGGATTATAATAGACATTTATGCATTACGATTTCGATCGTACATAGTATTCGTAATATATTTCAAACTTCCAAATTCAATGCTGCGCTATATTATGTTTCCAGAAGGCACATCAACATTATAACTTCTTATATTTTATGCAAATATGTCAAATTAATCATTGTTTAATCAGAAAATACAAAATAGCAATCATAGGCGTCGCACGCACACAGTTACAATCATAACTGATTCTACTTTTTGATCGATATAATCAATATTTTCTATTTGACACTGTTTTGTGAACATACCTTGCATATTCTGCGATTGTACTCGACCCACTTGTCTACGAAAAGAAACTTTTTCTCACTGTTTTCCGTTCATTCTGTCACAGCAAGTCTTCATCCGTTCTTTTCACTCAGGCATGCAGATCACACTAATAGCGTCGCGTCGATCGACAGTAGGTGGTTCACTATCTAAGTCAACAAAATGCATAAATTATTTAATGAAAATTATATGAAATTGAATAAACATAACAATAATTCTCACTGTTTTTCGTTGATCCTGTCACAGCAACTCTTCATTCGTCCACTCAAGCGTTCAGATTACAATAGAGTCGCGTTGGTAGTTTAGGCGGTTTACTGTCTAAGTCAATAAAGTTCATAAATCTATCTAATGAAAATTATATAAAATTGAATAAACGTAACAATAATAAAAAAAATACAGTTTATATTTTTAATTTAATTCTTTTATCTCTTTCAGACATTTTTAACTCATTTATAAGTAATTTTTTCCTCGAACCGTTCTTTTATCCGCGTATTTTTACATATGTTTTAAAAGTCACACGTAGTAGTCACGTGACCGCCATTTTTTTAGTTACAATTGTTCGTTACGCGCGTTTATGTCACCGTCAATTTTAACAAATTGTTTGAAAATTATACAAAGTAGTAGTAATAGTGCATTCGAAAATGTGAAAAAAATCTACAATATGTGGAGACGAAACGATCGCGATTATCTTTTTCTAATATTCAATATAATGTTTGAACATTACTTTAGGCGGTTTACTGTCTAAGTGAACAAAGTTCATAGCTCTATCTAATGAAAATTATACGAAATTGAATAAACATAATAATAATAAAAAAATACAGTTCATATTTTTAATTTAATTTTTTATCTTTTTAAGTGATTTTTTCTTCAAAGCGTTCTTTATAATATCCACGTATTTTGACATATCTTTTTAAATGTCGCACGTAGTGATCACATGACCTCCATCTTTTTAGTTGCAATTTGTTCGTTTCACGCGTTTTATATCGTCGTAAATTTTTTAATAAATTCCTTGAAAATAGTGAGAGAATAGTGTTTGAAAATGTGAAAAAATGTACAATATGTGGAGACGAAACAACCGCGATCATCTTTTTCTAATATTCAATGCAGTGTTGAAAGATATATTAAATATTATTTCTTCGCGGATACTCTTCGAACATTTTCAAAACGGCGTACCCATGCTAAGTTTTTTATTTTAAAGTATAATTTTTATTTTTCATCGCGCGCACGATATTAATGTGATAAAATGTTCAGTTCTCGGATAAAATGTGAGTGATTTATTGAACTACAATGTTTATGGCGGGCATTCGGGATTTACATTAAACATCTCTTAACCGCCTATGGACTTCATTAGAAGCCACCTCGTTTATGGACTCCATTAGAAGCACTCCACAAATGGTAAGTCTTGTATTTTTATTTTTTATTACTTTTTTTTACATCGAAGAAAAGAATTTAAAACATTAAGTTATATATTAAGTATTGTCAGTAGAAATTCTACATATAAATACATTTTATATACATATATAGGTATATAAGTAGATTTGAATATAACAAAATTTCATAATATTAATTACCAAGATTTCTAAACAATTTTTGAATTATCTAATAAACATAAAAAGCATTAAGTATTATATTTAAATTCATTTAAATTTCAATAAATACAGCAGAAAAATACAATAAACAATATTTAATTTGTTTATTGTTATAATAAACAAATTAAAAATTGTTTTATAAAAAACTTATTTATAGAAAACATACGTAGGATTATTAATAACTGAAATCCAAAATTTTGATTTTTTGGATATATTATTAAAACAGCGTTATGGGATTGAATATTAATCATTATTAAATGAAAAATCGATAATTCTCATATATAAAAAAAATTCTATATTATCGACGTTATATTATCAACATGATTGTTATCGTTCCAAACTGGTTCCAGTCTAGTAAGAACTGAATTTACCATTCCTTGCCACGTGTAGTATTAGTAGCTATACAAGATGTCGCTAAAATGCAAAAATCTGATAATTTAGTATCAGTAGACGAAGGATGAATTTTCTCGGAAATTTGATAATCTTTCATTTAGATTACTTTAGTGCTATTAAGTTTGTATCCAGTTGGTGCCTATTTTTCTATTTTTGAAGTTTTATAAATATCACGTTTCTTTCTGCAATACTTCAGATCACACCTAATTTAAGAATTATCTTTCAATTGTCAATATAAGTGTTATACAATATTGTTAAAATGAGCAATCAAAAGACAGTGCCAACTTCAATAAACTTCCTTTTTGGGGGAACAGCAGGGTTTGTTATTCTTATCATTTTAATTCAATTCAATTGTTTTAGAGTACAGTGTATATTGTACATAGATTCTAGGAAATTTCTATTGATTTAAATTCTAAAAATAAGTCTATTTTCTGTATTTTCATAAAATATTTGTATCAAATATCTTAAAATAGATATTAGAATTTACACAAGATTGTACATCTGTAACATTATCTCATAACGTTCTCATATCTCGTATCTCATATCTTCCAATATAAAAATAATTTTATGGCCTCAAGATTTAAGAAAGTTGACATTCAATTAATTACTTTATTCTAGAATGGCTGCAACATGTGTTGTTCAACCATTAGATTTAATAAAGAATCGAATGCAATTAAGTGGTACTAAAACATCGACAATAAGTGTAATATCCTCAATTTTGAAAAATGAAGGTGTCTTAGCTTTATATTCGGGTTTATCAGCTGGTTTATTGCGTCAAGCTTCATATACAACTACCAGACTTGGTACATATGAATGGCTGTCTCAATTAACATCGTGAGTACATATATTGAGATCATGGCCAATAATAAAAAAAATTATCTGATATCATACAATTACCTGATATCCCTTCTGATGTATGTTTAGAAAAGACAGTCAACCAAATTTTATTATGAAAGTATTGATAGGTTGTACTGCTGGTTGTGTAGGAGCATTTGTCGGTACTCCTGCTGAAGTTGCCTTAATTAGAATGACTGCTGATGGTAGACTACCTATTGGTACGCTCATTGTTAGTTGAATATTGAACAGAGATTTCCCAATTCTTAGCAATATTATATTTTTAGCTGAGAGACGCAATTATAAAAATGCATTTAATGCATTAGCTCGAATAGTGAAAGAAGAAGGCTTTTTAGCATTATGGAGAGGTACTATTCCAACAATGGGAAGAGCTATGGTTGTAAATGCAGCTCAATTGGCATCATATTCTCAATCTAAAGAAATGTTACTTAATACTGGTTTGTAAGAATATAAATAAGTAAGACCCAAATGATTGATTTGAGGATAATATCTTTTTTTTGCATTTGGATAGGATATTTCGAAAACAATATTACATTACACTTTGTAAGCTCTATGATATCAGGTTTAGTAACCACTGCTGCTTCTATGCCAGTTGATATTGCTAAAACAAGGTAAATCTTTCAAAAAAGTAAATCAGTAAAATATTTATGGAAAAGCTTTCATACTTTGCATTATTAATGACTTGCAGGATTCAAAATATGAAAGTTGTGGATGGTAAACCAGAATTTAAGGGTGCAGTAGATGTTATAATTCAGGTGTGTCGAAATGAAGGAATATTTTCATTATGGAAAGGTTTCTTTCCTTATTATGCTCGCTTAGGTCCACATACTGTTTTGACATTTATTTTTGTAGAACAAATGCGCAATTTTTACAAAACATATGCTTATTCATACAGTTCTTAATACACAATCACATTAAATCTTAAAATCATAAAAAAGTTTTAAGTAGTTTTTTTTGTATATGTATCTCTTATTTTATATCTAACCTTTCCAAGTTCTATGTATGTTTAGAATGAATGTTCATTCCTTTAGTATAATTCAGTATAATTTTTGTTTGTGTCTCTATATTTGATGAATATTGTATCATTTTTACACACTCGCACAATATTTATTAATTTTGGATATTTTAAGTGTTGGATACCTTGATAAGTTGTACAAATTTGAATTTAAAGTTCGTGAAGAATTAGGTTACATACATATGTACTTAAGTACATATACATATGTAACTAATTTTAACATACAGATTACGTTGACGAACAAGTCTTCTTAATGTTACGCGAAAACAATACATTCTATCAACACATTCTTCACAGATAAAGAATCGTTTGATACGATTTTTATTTTTTTATTTGTTGTTACTATAAAAATTGTATATTTTATTATTTCATATTTATATGTATAAAAACCTGTTATTACAAGATTATAAATCAACATTTACAATAAATATCATTTTATAAAATTTGAGATTGTAAATGAAACATTGAAACTTACAAATAGTTAGTAACGTATAGTTACTATCAGTTTTACATCTATATATACTACTCAAATTGTACATATAATTGTTGAATAAACGAGAAAAGTTACTTTTGTGTATATTAATGCGTTCTTCAGTGAGAGGTGAAATAGCAATGTTTTTCCCGAAAGACCCATTTGATAGTGGGTCTGGCATTTGATAGATTAACATGTAAAATCAGGGTGAAGTAATTTATTATTACGTGACATTATGTTTACCGCAATGAAATTGAAACATTATAAACTATTTACATACTTAACATGAATAATTTCTGTCTTGTGCAACCGTATATATCCGATATTATTTAAATGATTCATTAATTCAAATTCAATTATATTCAGAATGTTGGACAAAGCATTACATGAGGTTATGTAGGAATGAATATTTTTATCAAACATAAAAAATTAATTTACATTAGCCAGCATGCTTATTATGTAAAATATTTATATTAAAAAATGTCATACTCTTTTTATTCAATATAAGATTTGTTACAATGTCAAGAAAAAGAAAAGACAAAGTTAGGGAGGAAAATGGATTTGAAGATTGGGTATGTAAAAACATTTAGAATTTTTCAATAAAGACAAACAAGTTAAACATAAAAATGGGATAATTTTAGGGTGGATATATGGCTGCAAAACAAGCAAAATTAGAAGAACAATTTCATAATGAAGCAAACATTGAAATTAAAACATCTAATATATTTGAGGGAATAGCAATTTTTGTAAATGGTTATACTACTCCAACTGCAGATGAGCTTCGTCATTTGATGATGGTGCATGGAGGTACATATCACCATTATATGAGACCAAAAGCAACAACTCATATTATTGCATCTAATTTGCCATATTCAAAAATAATGTTATATAAAAGAAGTCAAAATCCAATTCCTATTTGTAAGCCTGAATGGATTATAGACAGTATCAAGGCAAATAGAGTTCTGAATTTTCAAAAATATTTGCTTTATTCCCATTGTACAAATGTACAACCAAAATTAAACTATGTAATACAAAATACAAAAAATAAAACAGACATTACTTTTTCAAAAAATGATGAAATAAATACTTTAAAAATCGATAATAATAGAACTGAAACAATAACACATACCTCAGTAAAAGAAAGTACTTCCAATTTTGCTTTACCAATGAGTTCAAGAGATACTCATTCAACAAAAAATTCAGAATTTATATCAGAATTTTACAGTAACTCTCGATTACACCACATTTCGACAATGGGAGCCACATTTAAAGAATATGTTAATGAATTAAGAGATAAAAATAATGGTAAATTTCCTGGTCTTACTAAATTGAAAGATATTAGATTAAATAGATCATTATTTGGTTCTCAATTGGACTTTGATCTTGACCTTAATGATTTACCAGAAGAAAACAAGATAATTACCCATGGTTGTATTATAATGCACATAGATATGGATTGTTTTTTTGTCTCAGTTGGTCTTAGAGATAGACCAGAATTGAAAGGCTTGCCCATTGCTGTAACACATGCGAAAGGCAATAAGGATGGAGAACATGGTTCATTGTCAGAAATAGCATCTTGTTCTTACGAAGCAAGGAAAGCTGGTGTGAAAAATGGCATGTTTTTAGGAGAGGCATTAAAAATATGTCCGAATTTAAAACCAATACCATATAATTTTGATGGTTATACAGAAGTTTCTTACATGTTGTATGATATTGTAGCATCATACACATTAGATATTGAAGCAGTTAGTTGTGACGAGATGTATGCAGATTGTACAAAAATATTAGAAGAATCTTCTTTAACACCAATACAATTTGCAACTATAATTAGACAGGAAATAAAAGAAAAAACTGGCTGTCCTGTGTCAACAGGGTTTGGAAGTAATAAATTATTAGCAAGATTAGCAACAAAAAAAGCAAAGCCAGATGGTCAATTTTATATACAGCAGGAACATATTAATGATTGCATTAGCACCTTTAATGTACAAGATTTACCAGGTAATAGGGAATAATTAAGTTAATTGATAGTGCTATATTCTATAATTATTTAAATTATAATCTTAATTATTTAAATCAGGGGTCGGGTGGACAACAACATATAAATTAAAGAATCTTAATGTACGAACTTGTGCTGAATTGCAAACAATCTCGTTGACGACATTACAGAAGGAATTTGGAAAAAAAACGGGTGAAATATTATATAATATGTGTCGTGGTGTAGATAACTCGAAGCTTAATTTAGAACACGTTAGAAAGTCTGTTTCCGCAGAGGTAAATTATGGAATAAGGTTTGAGAATAATGATGAAGCAGTAGACTTCTTAAAAAAGTTATGTCACGAGGTATGCAATCGTTTAAATAAAATTCATGCGAAAGGTAGATGCATTACGTTAAAACTTTTAATCAGAGCGAAGGAAGCGCCTAAGGAAACTGAAAAATTTATGGGACATGGGTTGTGCGATTATATAACGAAATCAAAAAATTTGATCTCTCCCATTAACGATGTCGATATTATAACGAAGTAAGTTGAAAGATATTCTTGATATTCCTACGTGAAAAAATAATTCGTTTGTGTTTACTTTAGGGAAATCATTACGCTTTGGAATCAAATGCAAAAAATGCCTGAAGATGCAAGAGGCATCGGCATACAAATATCTAGGCTAGAAATATTAAAAAATAAGTCTCGCGGTACAATTTTGACAAATTTCATTAAAAGCAAACCAAGTAGCACGGTTCAAAAATCTGTGGAAATAAATGAAGGCAATGAGGTTCAACCTGTAACAAATTCAAACGCAACTATGACAATTTCCGATAATATTAATAATAAACAAAAATTGGATATTTCACCTGGCATGGACAAGTCAGTTCTTTCTGAACTTCCGGAAGAAATACGAAATGAAATTTTGTATCCAAACAATGGTAAAAAATTGATGGAAGATAAAGGTCAAGCGACTACTAGCATAAAAAATACGATGGAAGTACAGCCACAAAAAAGTGTGCAAACGCGTCATGACAATTTTTTTAAACAAACGAAAGCTGGCATTTCTAGACCAACAAAGGTGGAAATGCCACCTATTCAAGAAATTGATATGTCCGTTTTAATAGAATTACCTGAAGATATACGGAATGAGATTCTTAATGAATACAGCGTCGCTAAGAGAAATCAGAATCAAACGAATGTGAACACAGGGACGGATAGTATATCTTCAACTAGTAAAGCATCAGTTTCTACAGAAATAAATCGCGATGAGCAAACTATATCTTACTCACAAGTAGACCCAGAATTTTTAGAGGCACTGTCGGAAGATCTAAGACGTGATGTTCAAATATATTGTATCGCTAAAAAGGCTGAACATTCGAAAATAAAAAAGGATGAGACAAATAATAATGGACTGATGAAACATGAAAACGCGAAACAGAATAAAAAAATGGAACTTAACTTTAAAAATAAAAACAGTAATAAAAATGGCAGAGGAACGCATTATAAAAATAGGAAGAAAAATGGGCAAGCAGCGCTCAAGACAAATAAAAATGTAAACAAGCCTGAAAACGTACCGGAGAATAAAATTAATACTGGTATTGCAAAATTCATAATACCTTTAGAAGGAAAACCCGAATCTGCGAATGATCAAATTACTGAGGATGATACACAGGCCATTCTTTCTCACAATCGTACTATCTCAGAAGACAATGACACTGCAAACCAATATCAGGATATTTTACTTGATCTCGTAAATCGTTTACTTAATCTACCTCTGAAACAGGTAGCTTTTATGTCTTATTGCTATTCTATATCATTCTAGATTATTTTATCGGGTAGCTCAAAAAGGTGTTGAATAGGATGGTATTTAATTTTAATCGAAGAGGCGAGTAATGCATGCTCGATGATTCGGCGAATTAGGTCATCCGTTTGTAAATAATTTTCATAGGATTAATGCAAATATAAAATACATGGTTGCAGGTAAAAATGCAAATACAAACGTGGATCGCTAATTCTAAGATCGTGAACGAAATAGATTTTTTATCGCTTGCGACATTTCTTAGCATGCTTCCGGAAAAGAAACGCATCGAAGACTTACACGTGTTATTAAAAACCATGCATAGGTAATCTATTACACAAGTTTCACACGTACACCCTTGTAATAGGTGGATATTGAGTAATGTAACACAGAGGATTCAGGGAATAGATATCGTTTTACTCAGTTATGATTGATAAATAAAAATGATATTAAAGACAGTACATTAACTTATTTATGTTCGTATTTTTAGATGTATGACAAAAACTGGAAATTGCATTTGGCATGGGACATATAGGAAAACAGTAAAATACGTTCAACATTATATGCAAATTGAATATAACAGCAACCTCATGGTACCACCAATCAAATGCAATCTTTTGCAGTGTAACAGTGATGTAATGTAAATTTTTCGGAATTTAATAAATTAATATTTTTACAATGAGGTTAATAAGAAACCTATTTACAAGCAAACATGATACTTACCTTCAATTTCATTGAACACAGTATCAGTATTCTTTAGGTAACATATTAATTTACAATCGAGAACATACTTTTTTTTTCTGAAAGAACTATGCTCAAAGGTTTCATATAAATCGGTAAGAAGTCATAAACCTCGAATTCGTACGTATTTTTGTAATATATATATCTATATATATTTTTAAATATATTTTTTACTTTGTTGTTGTTACGCGCTGGGAAGGTGAAAAAATAGAAAGGGTGAGTCAGAGATGAGCGTTTACTACTCCCATTCGGTAGTTCCTGGCGGTTTAGATGTTAAGTCGTATAAAACACGCGAGATACCGGGTATTGATGATATTTCGGTCACCAATTTCTTCACCACCTATACAAAAACAAAAAAGTATAGAGTTTTGAGTCTTACTTATTATATCGAATGTCTATACATATATCACACTCACATGTAGTGGCAATTCCTTCCCAGGAATAGCTGGTGTACCAGTCATAAAATCATTAGTAACGAATGGCCTAAGAACAACTGAACGTTGACATGAGGGTATTCGTGAAGCAGCATCGCGATCGAAATGTATGGGAATTAAAACTACTGGCATTTGACTGATTGCTCCCATACAGCCATTAGTAGCTAATACTAAGTTTGCTACGTGATCTGCTTGTCGAAGCGTAGCTATCACATTCGATGTAAGATGAGTCGGCGTGATATCCGTTACAGAATGATGTAGTTGAGGGCCAAAAATGAAGCATACACGATTTACGTTATGACATACTCGTGGAATTAATTTTGCGAGGAACAACAGATCCTTCCAATCTATACCCTCAGACAAGTTTTCTTCGCTAGATAATCCTACTACATAGCTGTAACTTCTTCGATCTCCCTGTATCGTACAGCAAATATTTTAATCCACGTATGAATTTTATTAGAAAATGACATTATTTTTAAGTGACAAACGTCATACCTGTACCCCCACACTGCGTATAGGCAAAAGTGTTGCAGAAATATGTCGGTAACTCGAAAGCTGTCGCAAATACTGACGTTCAGATTCACTAGTTGCACCTTCCACACGATTTAGTAACCCGTGCTTCTTTTGAAGCATTTGTTCGTATTCGGCCATTATTTTAACTATCACCTTGAATCGAATTATTTGTTTGTTATGGAAAGGTTTGTTGTTATATTTTTCTTTCCTTTCTTTTATTACGTCGTGAAAAACGAAAATACCTGTGTTTCCGAGAAATCTTTATCCATATAGGGTTCATCCGCGCATAAAATGCGCACAGCTAGTCCAGGACCAGGAAACGGATGACGAGCAACCAATGACGCAGGTAATCCAAGATCACACCCTAATTGTCTTACTTCATCCTTATGAAAATCTTTTAAAGGTTCTACTACATGACCTTGTGCTCTTAATGCTCTAACAAGTTCACTATCATTGTGATGCGTCTTTATTGCATCCGCTTTACCTGGTAGAAGTGTTTATATTTTATATAAATATATAATTTGTCGCTTCTGATGAAATGATACATTTACAACTATCAATTTACCACTAGCTAATGAACTGGCACTTTCTATGAGGTCAGGCCTAAGAGTGCCCTGTCCAAGAAACACTTCCTCTGGCTTCAAACCCATCTCTGCCATTGCTTCGTTGGCTACTCTCACAAAAACATCTCCTATGATTTTTCGTTTTTCTTCTGGATTAGTCGTTGCACACAACATTTTAGTTAATCTAGTTCTTGGGCTAGTTGCTGTCCCACATATTCCTTTGTTATTTATAGTATTTGTATTGGCTACTGGAGTAACATTGTCCAAGGGAACGGATGTAGTTCCTTGCATGAAGCAACGTCCAGCATTCACGACTCTTAATCGAATTCCCAATTGTGCTAAACTTTGTTCCACAAACTGTGTCTCTCCTTTTCGCATAAAGCCATTATTGATATGCAGAGCTATGACTTGTTCCTTATTTAAAGCTTTATGTAGTAGTGCTGCACATACTGTAGAGTCCACACCGCCGCTCACTAATAACTATGATCGTTTTTTTCTATTTTAATTGACACTTTGTTGTACCTTATACTACAGTTTTTAAATATTTTCCGAAATAAACCATTGTACAAAATTATTACACAGCTAAGGAATACGGATTCTAGTAATTACCCAAATATCAAATATAAACCTGTATCTTACCAAAACTTTTTTGTTGCCAATCGTATCTCTGATGTATTGAATACACTGTGCCTCCCGACCGCGAAGCGTATAATTACCAGTGAGGCCAGCGATGCCGAACAAAAAATTGTGTAACATTGTTTTTCCGTTAGGTGTAAGATCTACTTCTGGGTGAAATTGTACTCCATATAAGTTCATTTTATCACTTGCTATTCCTGCTATAAAGTTTGATGATCTGGCAGTGATATGAAAACTATCAGCCACCCTATCTATACTGTCTCCATGTGTTAACAGTACCATTTGCTCTTTCTCCAAACCCCTGACAAACCATTTATTTACTTAATATCTTATGTCTGAATTGTCGAGTGGACCATTCGTTTCAGACTCACTTACTTAAATAACAGGCATTTGGAGTCTATTTCAATGGGAAACTGACCATCTTCTCGGACCTCTTTACTTATTACTGTACCACCAAATTCCTTATTCATCATTTGCATGCCATAACAAATACCTAGCACTGGAATTCCTATTCTGAAGATGTCTGCGTCATATTTAGGTGCATCTTCTGCATAGACTGAACTTGGTCCTCCAGAAATTATGATGGCTCTAAAAATTTAGGTTTAAAATGATGATTATTATTTGTATACTAACATGCATGTTCTTAGATATATAAGAATGTCTTGTTTCTAATATAAAGACAATATGTGCCATCTTACTTATAACCCTTTTCTTGGAGAGTAAATGCAGATGTATCCAGGGGCAAAATTTCACTGTGCACATTTAATTCACGAATTTTTCTATCTATCACTTTACCATATTGTGCCCCTGCATCCAGAATGGCCACTTTTTCATCAACACATGCCATGCCCAATGTTCCTTCGTTAGCTCCATTATTTCTCTCTGCGCGAAACAACAATCCGTCCGCGCTTTTTTCCATTTCAAAATTTCTTGTATTGCTATTGATATTGCGGTGATTTTAATAATCCTACAATATGATTGTATTGTTTGATAGATTCCATAAGAAACAAAGCATATATAAACAAATAATAAAACACACAAATCTATTTTTAACTCTTCCAAAAATATGCTAATGTTTAGCTCCTATAATTTAACAAAAAAAAACAATTAAAACAATTTTTCTATTTGTTAAAATTAAAAAAAAAAATTATCTTTCATATACATATGATGTATCATTTAAAGTTAAAACATTAGGTTATTAGGAAATAATTATAAGTTATATATCATCTCAATTCCATCATTTATTAATTACTATATCATTCTAATTTCATTGAAAAAAAGTAAACAAAATTAGATTAGAATATTACATTTGCAAATCCAGAGTTTATTATTAAATATAAATTGATGTCACAGATTTATCTCTTTAACAAATGGAAAAAGTTAGAGAAATTTCCCTAATGCGAATAATATCTAAAGATATTGCTGCGTGTAAATATGTATAAGATGCTATTATAGTGTCACAACCCAGTGTAAGTTCCAACAACTATTGTACATTATAGACATTTGATTCATACAGAAAATTTATTTGGAAATATGTACGCGCATATTTTATATTATTTCATGAATAATTTAAGTAACGTTGAAAAAAAACCATTAAATGCAACATTTAGCAAAAAATAAATAACCGGCCGTAAATTTTATGAGCACGTTTCTTAGAAACGAAAGTACTATAATAGCGCATCTGTTACACGAATCATCTTTTTAAAGGCTAATAAAATGTAATCAAGGACTTACCAAATTATACGAGGCAGAGAATATTTCACGCGTAAATCACCAACTAACGTAAAATTAATTACAGCAAAACAGAATGTGCACTCTTTAGACGAGGCAGCCATTCAATCGCCTGCAATAGCCACAATACAGTGACTGCCTTCAGCTTGAAAGTAATGTAGAAAACCAACGACACAGTCTAAAAGTTCCTAGCAAAATTCAATACTTGCTACGTTAACTTACATATTTTCACAAAAATATTCTATCACTTGACGATTTTACGCGACTGTTTTGTGCAATATTTGATATTTCATTGTTTAACGTTTTCCCTTCGGTGACTATTATTTTTAATTATCAAGTTTTCCTACGATTCGTCTAGATTTTTTCTCGAACGCGACTAACGTGAAGATAGTAAATTTTAACATTTATTGAGCAGCATTTTTTGGGCATGTTTGAGGATTATATGTTTATTGTTTTTTATATATTTATATAATAAAGGTACATGAAAGTATTATGTGCAAGGTTAACAACTGCTGTCTATAACGTTCAGTTATACGTTAACTGAATACTCTTGATCATCAGAGAATGCTAACAGATACGTTAGACGACGTTAAAATAAAACAAAAGTTATCTTATCGCGCGAACGTTTTCGCAATTTAAAATGTTTCGAAATTATATATAATTCACAGCGTCGTAAATCACTCTTCTATACGTACGTATGCATATTACGCAGTGCGTTCAAATGAAAATCACTCACGACAAATTCCAGTAAAAGGAAGAGAGCAAAGCGAAATAACGAACTTCGTGAAATGTCATCTGTACATCAATGTTTTTTATCGGCGGAGAGGAATAGTTATGAAATAAACAAATACGTTGCAGATGATGTTCCCAGGAAGGTCGAGTACTTTCTACCGACAGAGGTTGCAGTTCACAATACAGAAATTGATTGTTGGATCTCTTATAATGATATGGTGTACGATCTGACTGATCTTTGTAAAATTTGGGCGAATAAAAGAGAGATCAAACCAATACTAGCATACGCTGGTAAAGATATAAGTCATTGGTTCGATCATGAGAAAAATGATATTAAATATTATGTACATCCTGTTACGGGAGTGTTGGTACCGTATTGCCCTCATGGACCTATCCCGGATGTAATATCCTCCGTAGTTCCTTGCAGTACTTGGCGACCATTGGATAAATGTCCTTGGTGGCTTGATGACAAGTATAAAAAAGGATACTTGACGAAAAACGCACGTCCATGTAGAATTTTAAACGTCCTCATTGGTGTGCAAGTCGTTATAATGGTAGAATATTAAATTTTTATTTCTTCAGAGAAATATAAATTTTTGTTTCAGTGGATTTAATAGATTTTCAGATAGATTTTATTTAATAGGTTCGACAGATTTAATAGATTTAATCGATTTTATTTCAACACGTTTAATAGAGTTTATTTCAATTTTATTTATTAATAGAGGTCGTTAATCGATGTGTTAATGAAAGAATTTCATAAAGGTCTGCGAGGAAGATTCCATTAGGCGTATTCAAGAACGTGCCCTCATTTATAACAAAAATGGAAAGTCTTATAGGTGGAAATTCGAAGGGAAGGATTTGACTCTCGATTTAACTTTGACAGAAAATGGTATTCCGGATGAACGAGAACGTTTCGCCGCTTGTGGCCTTCCCGACGATTATTATATTCCATGTCTTATGTGTTATTACAACGAATAATAATATAGCTAATTAGACAGAGAAAAACTGAGAAATATTTCAAGGGAGATGTAAATTATTATTATTCTACGAAAAGATTCCTATGGTACCCTCCATTTAAACTTAACGAAAATACAAAAGATGGCACCACGGCCACAGTAAGTCAACACGACTTAGCCAACTTCCGCTTCGAGAAACGAAAACCTTATTTTGTTTGGAAAATCCTTGTAAAATTGAACGACAATGTTTCCATCTGTGATAATTCGCACATCGCGAAATTTAGCATCGCGTATTTACCATCACGGGAAATTTCATTGTCTTCCTATTACAAAGAATACTTTTCAAATTACTAATATACAAATTCATTCTTTCTCCTCGAAATCTATGAAAGTAGCTATTTTAGGTGCTGCTAGCAAGACTGGTAATTTAGGTTACATTCAATTCATTTCTCTGTTGTATATTTAATTCTATACTGACTTTACTGTTACGTTGTAGGAAGTAGTCTTGCATTATTTTTAAAGCAATCGCCATTGATCGACGAAGTGGCAATTTTCGATAGCAAATGCGTTTACGGTCTCGCGCTGGATTTAAATTATATCGACACAAGGTGCAAGGTTAGTACGTGTAATTGTCCTGAAACAAGTCTCGAGCAAACACTCGACGAGGCGAAAGTAGTAATGGTCGTAGCAGACGAAACGAGCAAAGAAAGATCGAACGAACACGAAGTCTTAAAGTCTAACGCAGACGTGCTATCAGACTTGCTACCGAATGTTATTAAATTTTCACCTCAGGTAATAAACTAGATCGATTAATGATTGTTATTTGAAGTATAGTCACGATTATTCATCAAAGTCTTTATATATCTATCCCTTAAAAAGTTCATAAACAAAATAAACAAACCATACAATTTGTAATAACGCTCTTGATATCGAATGCAATAAATTTGCAGTAAAAATACTTTATTCCAATAATAAGTGAGATTTTTATAGGGTTGACTTGTGAATGAGTGTATACGAGACAATAAAGATGCGTTATAGATTTGTATATGGCACAACGCTATGCTTTATCCGTGACACGTTGTTTTTTAGTAGTTAACCTTGGCTTTTAACGCCCTCGTAGTTTCATTAATTGCGAGTAGGTTGTTTTCGACATTCCTCGCGGCGATTTCAGCAAGGACAAAGGATATTTGCCTTTGTACATCTCTCGCTTCCTTTATAGCGATGATGTGTCTCTTTTACTGCTTCGTCTATTTACACACAGGACCCATTTATTCGGGACTGCTTGTGGAAAAATAAGAGAGAAATATAGAAGCCGCAAGGCACCGATTTCAATCGATTTTGATTTCTGCAGGAAGTATCTTTCGCTTTTTCTCTTTCCTTAGGCAATGGTCGCAGTCGTAATGAATCCGATAAACAGTTTAATCCCTCTGGCACTGGAGATGTATAAAAAGGCTGGAATTTACGAGCACAATCGACTGTTCGGTGTAATTAATCGTTATTCTCTTAGAGCAAATACCTTCGCTGCAGAAAGGATAGGCATTGAACCAGAATGCATGATGGTACCTATAATCGGCGGAGGTTGTTGCAAAACATGCATTCCACTTTTCTCCCAAGCAAAACCTTCGAGTAAACTGTCCCAGGTTACTGAAAGTTTTCTTAAATTTCTTCTGTTATCTCTACCAGTTGTATCCGACATAGTTGTGCCTGTTTGTTAATTAATTAGATAGAAATTAGAAGATTAACACACGCCGTAAAAACGTCCGACGAAGAGATATCGAAAGCAAATAAAGACAAAGAGAAACCGTATTTAGCAACATCTTTCGCTGCCGCAAGATTTTGCATGTCCCTTTGTAAAGGTATTATTGCTAGAATATAAACTTTTATGCGAATGCACATACTTCAAAAAATATAATTAACAGATAAAGAGGAATATAATTAAAAAAAAAATTGAAAAAATAAAGAAATAGAAGGGACAAATTGTTTTGCGTTATAGAAAATATATGCCTATAAATGACGATTGAAGTTCCATCATGCAAATACGAAATATTGATCAGATTCTAAATTCACATTTCATTATTAATTTATTTAGCGATACGACACGAAAGAAATGTTGTGGAGTCCGCATATGTCAGATCGTGCGTGATACCAGAATTAACATATTTCGCCACTCCTTTGGAACTAGGCCCTGCTGGAATTCAGAAACATTTTGGCATTCCATCGTTGACTAATTACGAGTGCGAGCTTCTTAACTCAGTTATACCTTTTTTAAAAAAGGACATTAAACTTGGAGAGGTAACGAGATACATAATATTCCCGAATTTTTGAGGAAACAAGATGAAAACCCTTGATTCTTCGTAGGCTCTCGCTCTTGGGCATGAAAACGTTTCTTCTGAAGCGTGTCTCTAACATATTATGTAATTTATACGATCAGACAAATTCACCTCGTACAATTTTTCTTGAATAATTTCTCACGGTATTTCGCACCGTGTTTCTACGAAAAAAAGAAAACAGAAGATTTCTGGTTGGTAACATCGGAAAAATTGAAACAATGGCTCGTAAAGTATGGAAGACCGCGAAATGTCAAAACGAAACGCCGTACTTGAGATCGAACCACGACGAACCTGTAAAATAGTTAATGACGATCGTGATAATGGCAATGATCTATCGTTTTATCGTTCAGTGTTCTATGAAACAAGAGAGAGAACTCAAGCCAAGGATTGAAAACAAATACTTGAAGTTTCTCCGCGACTAAACCAGAGTGACAAAGGCATTCTCCTACAGTTCAATCTGATTTAAATGTTACGAGTTTAAGTATACAGCAATAAATATCAAATACTGAATATTATGACTCGTTGATAGAATGCATAATAATTGGTTGTTCGAAACACGCTTTTATAGTGTCTGCGAAATATATATCTATTTGCGTCAAATGTACTATATTAAGTTTGCTTCGAACTCGATGGCCGTATAATGAAACCTGTCTACAAAAAGTTCGACGATGCGCCGTATAATAATTATAACAAGCTTCGAGTTTCCTCGAATCTCCTGCGCAGAGTGATAAAGACATCCTCCCACAGTCTTATTCTTTATCAACGTTATTACCGTACGTGCACACGCATACGTGTAACGATGAGGCTGTAATTATAACAGGTCTCGAGTTTGCTCGTTTATAGCCAAGTGCTTACGCGCGGCGAGCAACTTAACTAGAATCGCCTAACCAAGGAAGACTTTGGATCTGATAAGGACAAATACAACCCTAGTCTCAAAGATTCTAGAAGCGGACGCGGTTTTCGAAGAGCCACCGCATCACCGCGTCTCAGGTTACCAGGTAGATACGCGCAACAAAAGTAGAAGAAACTCGTCCTTTCCGCATTCCCGACACGCCACGGTGTTCCCAAGTGTGCGCGGCGACTGCAGACAAGATACGGACGACTGCAGCTGGCAACTCTTTGGCAGAAGGGATTATTGCGAGCTTGCCTCCACACACAGAGAGAAAGAGAGAGAGAGAGAGAGAGAGAGAGAGAGAGTCAGGTTGGAAGGGAGAAGGCGCGGGTGTTGCCTATTGCAAATCCTCGCTAAGCAAGTCTTAAACTCCCTACGTTCCAACGCGATTCGACCATAACTACCACCGTGACCATCGTGACCATAAAAATGTAATAAACGCAAGCAAGGGATTTTGTTGCCTCGAGTTGGAGCGCACGACGATTCCATTGGTTTCTTAAGGCTGTTTTTCAATGAATTTCACTACGAAGATATAGCTTTTGATGACACCGCGAAGAGAATCGTTTTGCAGTGGCAAACGAAATGGAAACGATTAAGGATTTAGATGGTATAAATTCTTACGTTCCAATGCGATTCAATAACTGTAAAATACGTAATAAATACGAGCGAGAGATTTGGTAGCTGACGTAACAAAATTTATCAATATAAAAATTCAGAGTTATTGTAGATATATAAAATCCTGGGTTACTAAATTTCAACTCTGCTTATAGCTAGCTATATCTAGCAATAAGATCTACGACAGTTCAAATCTGACGTGCATACATATATTTAACAAGTTCAGGAGGCTTAATAGAACACGATTTAAAATTCTTAAAAATTTTAGTAATTTTTTAAGACTTGTGAGATAAAGTTTAATAGTTTAATTAGTATTTAGTTAGTCTTGGAAGTTTTAAACAGTATTATTGGCATAAAATATTGTAGAAAATACAGAAGGTATAGCTTTTGTGTATCAAAGTACTTACATATGTTATTCTCTTGTTTTCTTTTTTTGTGCAGTTTACATTTCAAGAATTTTAAGATTCGAATCGAGAGACTCGAGTTTATAAACATCTCCATCGAATCGTACTGCCACGCGAATATCGTTCGTCCAATATCGCTATTTGCACATACTCGTCCTTGAGAATCATAGGTTTTTCATCATACACGTTTCTTATTCCACTGTTTGTTCATTTTTTTCGACTCCATTACGCCGATCCATTGATTCCGCACATAATCTGATGCTTTTAATGAAACATCGATCGCAGCTAATGCACTACTTAAATAGTTTCAAGTAACTATCCATCTTTCTGCTGTAAACACCACCAGTCGACCTTGACGGTGCAAGCGACGAGAATCGTTTCGATGAGAACGATGAGCTTCAACATGTTATCCACTCATAAGTGGACGCATAAAGTGGTAAATGAAATGTAAAAAGAAAAAAATTAAAGATAAAGATAGGCGTGATTGTCTCTGCTGTGTGGATAAAATCGAACAGTAGATTACATAATTGTTTTCAGCGACAGTCACTGAATATATTAAACAATCTAAACAGCATATCAATTGACCGATGCCAATCAATTAAAGATTTATTTTAACACTGACAAAAATCATCCCTCCTTTTTATTAGATCGTTGAAAATGAAATGGCTGAATTCTTTTTATAAAACTTTTGGTTCTCAGCCAGTTCGCATCTTTCTTGAAAATGTCCAACGTATTTAATATATTTCGATCATTGTACAACGGAACAAGGTTGTGATCGTTA